GGCCAGGGACGAACATGACGGGGAACGGGCCGATGTCGACAAGCTACCAGGATCTCATGTCAAGGCACGGGGGGGCAGGAGGAGGAGGAGGAGGAGGAGGGCCAGGAACGAACATGACAGGGAACGGGCCGATGTCGACAAGTATGCAGGATATTAGTGGTTCCCCGCAATCTCCTGTTTTGTCAGGAGGTCCCAGAGAGACTGACATGTCTCAACTACAGCAGAAAATTGCAGCTATCATGCGTCGAAGTGACCTCACTCCCCAACAGCGGCAGCAGAAGATTCAAGACATTAGGAGTGGGAAGGAGGAGACGGAGACAGAGGTCCCCTCAGTCAAGGTTGAGGAGCAGCCTGAAGATTTCCAAGTTGCTCCTCCAGCTCATGAAGATGTTCCTCGGCGCCCCGTCGATGCTTTTCGCGCTGTTTTCCAGCCTGAAAGTGGGGGCATAGCAGCAGGCACTCGCCTTGTGCTGCCGTCTGAGCTGAAGAAAGGAGTCGTTCGTCGTAAGGCAAAGAAGGACTGGGGGGAGTGCATGTTAACATTTGACAAGATCAAAGAGCCAGTGAGTTGGCTGAATTTGACCAACAACGGCTGCCAGCCATGTCGTGACGGTGCCTTTGTAGGTGCGCGCGAAAGACGGACATGTCTACGAGAGATGGGCGATTGAGAAATGGTTGTGAGACGGGAGGATAAGGATTTTTTTCATTGAAGCTGATTGGTGCAGGTTGGCTGAGAATAACAATCGATCACCCTTGACGAATGTCACCATCGATCCAACGCTTGTTCCGCTCACCGACGACGATGAGGGTGTTGGGGCTCGGCACGTGAACTCAGAAGTTGTTGAAAAGGCACCTTGTGATGCCCAGGCGCCTGAAGGCGAAGAAGCTGTAGTGGTGAAGCGAAGCTCGAGGATCGACGAGGCAAAGCGTCGACTTGCTGAAGAGCGTGCGCACGTGATGCAGGAGCAAATGAGCAAGCAAAAGGAGGAGCAGAGTGAAGAGAGTAGGAAAGAAGAGGAGGTGGGTCAAGCTGCTTCGCTGGTAGCTACATGCTTGGCTGTGGGCTGAAGTCGATGGACAGGAAAGGATGGAGAAACTGAAGAAGCGTGGCTTCAAGGGGTACAGCCCTGGCATCAGCGAGAATTCTTTCCGTACCGCGAGCTCCCATTCAGCTGAGGCGGATGATGGGTGACCGGGGACTGACTGAAGCTTGCTTCTCTGACAGTCTCGTAGGTCGGAAGAGATGGAATCCATCGCGGACCCGTTGGCTGCTTTTGAACTTCCCAACCAGATCCACCCTGAGAACCTCGTGGGGGTTCCCGGCGTCAGTGCTATAGCGGCCAAGAACGTCAAGAACGAACAAGAGAGTAAGCCCGCCCCTCAGGCTGACGCCAAGACGACTGTGGCAGAGAGAGCTGCTGCCTTAGCGAGGAAGAAGGAGGACGAGGTCGATAAATGCGCGCCCATCCGGAGTTCTCTGAACTTCTTTCCTGCAGGCGAGGATTGAGCAGCTGGCAAAGGAGGACCGCGAGGCCTGGGGGGACAACATTCCGCCTCCCCAGCAAGTAATAGAAGAAGCCTTCCTCAACGCCTTGCCGCGAGCCGACGACCTCCTAGGAAACCTGGAGATCAGTGAGATCCAGAGATCGAAGAGTCCTGTGCACATCAACTTCGACTGCCTCGAGGAGATCACGATGAGCGGTCGAGTGGTAGACCTCGACCCCGGAGCGCTGCAGCTGCTCAAGGTTGTCAACGCGTTTGACTTGGCAGAGTCAAGTCAGGTAGAAAGCCGGACGTCCCGGAACTTGGACCAGAGCTCTGGCTCTGATAGTAGGAGGCCGGAGAGCGAGACCCTGCGACCGTTTGCACGCGTGGAGGCGAAGGAACTTCCTACCTTCAAGGAGCCAGTGTTCCATCAACCCACCAGCTGGCTGCTGGGATCCGTTCAGCACGTCAGCATCAACGAGGCCTGGGACTCGGTCAAGGATGAGATCACGAATGCTCCGCGACCGCAGATGGAGAAGGAGGCCGTCGCTCCGTTCTCTGTGACAGATCCTGTCGTGATCAAGAGGCTGTCCGACACCCCGGGGTGGGGGGTGTATGCGGCCAAGGAGAAGAAACAGCATGTGGAAGAGCAACAGAAGACCATGTTCTCTATGATGGGGTCTTGGTTTCATGGCGGGTTCACCAACGAGGACGAGGAGGTGGAGGTCAAGGAGGGGAGGGTGCAGGGGCCTTTGACGATGGTCCAGAACTGGATAGGATGGGAGTGGGCGAGAGAAAGTTCGACCCAGGCTGACAACTTGGAAGCGATAGAGTCCGAGTCCGAGGGCGAGGAACTGGTCGACGACAGCCAGTCCTGCGAGAAGCCGGAGGAGCCTTCTACTATCATCGGGACCGCATCAGCTCTAAGACAGCTGGGCCTCAAGGGCAGTAGAGTCCGACGCGCGTACATCCCGCAGAAGCCGAGGACTACAGCGGAGAAGGAGCAGGAGCAAGGAGATGACGAGGAGAGCGTTCAGCTCGCCCCAAGCTTCAGCTCGCAGGAGGATGGAGGGAGCCAAGTTGCTAGCCAACAGCTGAGCGCAAACTTGATCCATGAAATCTTTGCAGCGCAAGTGGAGAGCGGCAGTGAGAAGAACATCTTGTCGGCGGCGAGGATCGATGAGCTGTTCACGGAGTATGATCAGAGTGAAGTCAGAGGAGCGACTTCTCCGGACGGGCCCCCGTCAAGGGCGATGGACAGGGATGGCATCTTGAAAGCGTTCGACGAGGCAGCGGGCGGTGAGGAGGATGCTCCGTCTCATCCGCCGCAGCAATGCAGGAAGAATCGCTTCGAGGTGGAGAACATGGAGGACATAGTCAACAACGATCCCCTCCTGAAACAGCAGCAGGAGGAGCTGGAACGCCAGCAGGCAGCGCTGAGGGATGCAAGGGAGAGGGCCTTCATGGAGGAGGAGAACATCCGGAAGGAGGAGATGAGAGTAGCCGCTGCGCGGAAGCAAGAGAAGATCCGCCAGGAGATCCTCGAGGAAGAGAACCGGCAGAAGAAGTACATGATGGAGCTAGAAGCGAAGAGGAGGGAGCTCGAGCAGGAGCGTGAGAGTTTGCTGCGGCCTCAAGTCAACTCCTCGATGTTGAAGATGAAAGAAGCAGAGAGGGTTCCCCTCAGCTCTCAGCCCTCCAGGCAGCATGAGGAGGAGGCTTACCGGCTGCAGCTGCAGATGCAGGCGCAGAAGGAGGCTTTGGAGATGGAGCGGAGGAAGCTGGAGATCGAGCAGCAGCAGCAGAAGCTGGAGATCGAGAGGGAGAGGATGAAGCTGGAGAAAGAGACTCTGAGGCGGAGGCAGAAGGAGAAAGAGGCTCAGCTGAAGCTGGAGAAGGAGAGGATGGAGAGAGAGAGCGAGCAGGCGCGGCTGCAGGCACAGAGCCAGTATTACGAACGCCCTCCCGCACCATCCATGGCTCCGAGCCGCCAGAACGAGTCGATCCAGCGATGGCTGGAGTCTTCGGTGCCTCCTTCTGTCAACGCTGGGTCGATTGCTCCGGGCAGGAAGAACCTTGATCAGCCGAGGCCGATCAGCATGCAGGACGTGCAGCTGTGGCTGCAGGACATCGGCATGTCCAAGTACGGGCGCATGTTCGCAGACAACGAGATCGATGGGGAGATGCTGCTGACGCTGACTGACAAGGACCTGGCGGAGATCGGAGTGCCAGCATGGACAGGAGACCGTCAGCGAATCCTCCTCTCAGTGCAGGCCCTCCTGGACCCCTCCCTGGCAACCGCCATCGACACGTCGGTCAGCAGCAGGAACTATGCAGCGTCCCTTCCGCCAGCTCCGTCGGTCTTCAGCGCAGCTAGATCGGCAATTCCTGCACAGGCTTCTCACTTCCCAGCTGACGGGATCCAGACCCCCGTGGGCGAGTGGCTCGCAAGCATCGGCTTCGGGAGGTTCAAGACGCTCTTTGCGGAGAGCAACATCCATGAGCTCCGAGACCTGGCGCAGATGGAGGGACCAGACCTCCTCCAGCTCGGCATCCCTGAGGCTGGCGGCCAGCTGGGCAGGCTGCAGGCCTCTATTGCTGGCTTGCGTTACACCCTGCAGGCGGGAGGAGCGCAGGGCGGGGACGATCGATGGGAGACGGAGACGGTGTCGACGACGGCGACTTCCAAGTCGGGGAAGGGCAAGAGAGGGAAGAGCAAGGAGAGAAAGAAGGCCCTTCTGGACTTCTCGTTGATCGAGGAGTTTGTGGAAGTCTCAGACATCTCTGCGCAGCGTTGGAGCAAGGTCACGGCTCACCTGGAGGCGAACGAGCTGAGGCTGTACAAGGGGCACAAGACGCCTGTCAAGGGGGACAAGCCCAAGACGCTGTTGAGGATGGACGGGCTGATCATAGACGAGTCGGACAAGAAGGCCAACACAGTCTTCGTCGTCAAGAGTCTGTTCGCGAGCTCGACGGGAGACATTCTGATCGCTCTCAAGGACGCGGCAACCACGAAGCTGTGGAAGCAGAGGCTGCAAGGGGCCTCCTTCTTTCACAACATGCCCCGAGAGAAGCAGCTTGCTGGGCTGACCAAGAAGACGGTCAAGCCGGCCGAGGGGAAGTCCAGCCGCCCTCTCCAGGCCAACGTGGATCAGTTCGGCAATCGTATCTCCCAGGCTCCTGCGGTAGAGACCAGACAGGCTGCCGTGACGAAGCAGGTGGAGGCTTCGAGTCGCCGGATCAGCCAGGGGCCATCGGAAGACCGGTCCTCTTCTACCAAGGCTCCTTTCAACGGCCCTGTCAAATCCTTCACGATCAAGAACTTGATAATCAGGAACGCTTCTCAGGTCTTCGACGACCCTGTCCTCGTTGTCAGGGTCTACGGACATGGCGGAAGTTTCAAGTTTCCCTTCGCCGACATCCCGCTCAAGGTCAGATACCTTCCCTCCTCCTGCTGCTCCTCTCGCCTCCCTCCGCTCGTCCTGACCTTGTCCGATGCAACAGCCGGCTGATGATAAGGCCATCCTACGATTTGACATCGGAGCCAAGGTGAGACAGACCGGACGGACTTGGGCCTCTGACTCTCCGCCTTGTAGACGGCGATCCCTGACGACTACGATTCCGTTGTCTTCTTCGAGCTCAAGAACAAGGTGCCCTTCCTTCCCTTCCTCTCTCTTCCTCGTTTCGTTACCTACTCCTTCCCTCTTCCCGCCATTTCTCCATTCGCCTCCCCTGCGTTTTCTGCCTCCTCCCTCCTCCTCCTCCTCCCTCCTCCTCCTCCCTCCTCCTCCTCCTCCCTCCTCCTCCCTCTTGCCCTTCGGCAGCTCACGCCAAGTCAGGTCAAAGGGATGGGCCAGGCCACTAAGTACTGGACGTGCGTCTCCTTCAACCTCCTTCGGCAGGGAGCTCTGGAGCTTCCCATCTACAAGGCGCCGGTGGAGTACTGCCTGTCGAAGCAGAAGAGAGACGTCAAGGCGAACAGCTACCTCAACGTGCAAGTGCACTAGCACGAAGCAGCGGAGCTTGTTATCTAAACAGACTTGTCCATACCGTCGTCGTGCTGATCATGTACTCTAGTGTAAAAACCACACAGTTTTCATTGCAAAACACATCCCTATAACAATCCTCGCTCGCCTCTACTAGCAAATACAGATGCGTGCTGTTGCTGCTCAAAATTTCTCCATCTGCTCACTTCTCCCCCCATCACGTTGGAATAATCATGAAACCCTCCACTCCGTCGCTTTACTTAACCCAGTCGACCAATCACAAGCATCATGCAGCTTCTGCCCCATTCTCGTTGTTGATAAAACCTGTTCGATCTTCCTGAGTGCTTCGCTGTTGCGATCTCCTATCGTCTACTACAATGTTCCTCAACCTCCCTCGCTGACTGAAGCAGTACTGTCCCCAGGCAAACCCCAGCACAGCTCCGGCAAGGATGTCATCGAAGTTGTGCCAGTAGTCCATCGTGCGTGTTATGGCGATCCAGACGGCAAGAGCGAAGGGCACGAAGGAGACGACTTGTCCCACTTGGTACTGTATCGGGCTCAGCAGCCGCTGCTGCCGCGCTTGACATTCCAGTTTGTCCAGAAGGTAGAGACCGAGAAATCCCAACCCCGCCATGGAGAAGGAGGCATGCCCTGAAGGAAACGACTGCCGCGAGTCCCACACCTTGAGCGTCGTCCCTGTGCAGTGACCTGCGGCTCCTCGATGCCCGGTCTGGTTGGCCACCCAGCCGCACATGGCGAAGAAACAGGGGCGCGGCCTCCCGGCGAACTTCTTGGCGATCGTGGTGGACATGAGAGTGAGGCTGACTGACTGCGAGAGAGCGAGAAAGGAGACGCAGAAGTCTGACTTGTCAAGAGAGCTGGAGACGAAGAAGATGATGGCGATGGGAACGAAGTACGCAATGACAAACAGAAGCGACTCGGGCACCTGCTGGTTCCCCACGGGGTAGCTCAAGGCCGGATCCCCTGCCAACACGATCCTCTCGTGAGGAGCGACGTAGAAGTTGACGATTCCCGTGATGACGAAACATAGCAAAACCTGCGATAGAACGAATGAGCCATGAGGAGAAGCCGATTCAAAAAGACCCTACGAGAAATTTATCATCCACACAAGTTTGTTCTACTCGATTTAAAGTTCACTGCTCTCCCTTCAGACACACAACTTAATCCACTCAAGTTCACTGCTCTCCCCAAGTTCACTGCTCTCCCTTCAGACCGCTTTTTCTTCATGACGTCCCCCTACCATGCAGTGCATTCAGATGAACCATCAAGACACAACCCTACTTCTCTCCTCCCCTTCTACATGATCCTTCCTCAATCCCATTCATCGACTACACCTCCTCGTTGACTGTCCTTCCTCAATCCCATTCATCGACTACACCTCCTCGTTGACTGTCCCTCAGCGTCAAAATCCTCCCTTCCTCTTCCTCCTCCTCTGCCATCGCCGTCCTCTCCCCCTCTTGCTTCTTGTCTGCCATCATCACCTGGCTCCATTCCTTCGCCAGCGGCTTCGCCGCTTCCTTCATGACCTGCGCGATCCCCTGCTCCCCAACCAGCATGATGGAGCCCCTGCCAGGAATGGGGTGGGTACTTCTAAATAAGGGGTAGGGGTAGAAAGATTCAAACGTTTCAGGACGCTCTCGGGGTTTTTGGTGGTGTTTGCAGTCTAGTATCGAGGGTAGGGGTACATTATGGCGGGAACCAGAGGGGTAGGGGGTGATTATGGAAACGGCGTTGCCAGGGTGGATGGGCCCAGGGGTATGAAAGCACGGACTCCCATCTTACGTGGTTACGAAAACACGTGAAGGTCCTGAGGCGGACCATGTTTGTTTGAGGACTTTTACAGGGTAGGGGTAGGGGTGTACTGGGGTGGGTTATAGGGCAGAGAAAATGGAGGGTGGAGATGAGCTGTGCGGGGGCAGAACAACAGCGGGTGGGGGTGGGTATGTGGCGGGGTGGTAGGTTGAGTATGGTGGAGAGAGGATGGAGGGAACGAGAATGCAGCCGAGGGGGAGGGGGAGAGAGATAGAAGTATGATCTAGAGAGAGTCGGATAAGAGGTGAGACAAGCTGCCAGAGCATCATTGAGGGAGGAGGACATCGAGAGAGGGGGGAGACGGAGGATAAAAGGTAGTCCTGGGGTTCCAGGGAAGCGGAAGCCGAGCAGGGGTGGAGAGTGAGGGAGGAAGGGAGAAAATGCAGTGTTGGAATCTCTCGATAATACAAGGAGTCGTGAAAATTTTGTGAACGCGGATGAATTGAATAGCACTGCTGAGATGTACGAATGGATTTTCCTCTGATGACGTCAGGGTTGAATTGAATCGAGCGATCAAAAGATGGATTGAACGATACATTCTTTCGCTATACCTTGGATAGTGCTTTTCTGAGCAAGCTACGTTCATCTTGCTCGTTCTCGTCGCTGTCGAGCAGTGGATTCTGCACCAACGATGCCCCGCAAGAAAGAGAAAGTGCGGAACATCGTGAAGAAGATTGCACGAGACGCTAAAAACACAATCGTGCATGTGAACCAACATATGCATGCAGCTGGCCATGAGCGGATAAACACCAATGATGACATTGAAGACCCGCAGGATTATGAGTCTGAGAACCTTCTACACACAGAGAGAATGCCCAAGGAAGAAGGCAAGGTGGAGGCTGACGACATGCGCAAAGATTATTCGTTGGGGAGTGCAAGTGACTTGGACAGAGGAAGGAACACAGCAAGCAGAGTGTCGGGGGGCGAGGAAGAAGAGGGGAACAACACAGCAGATCGCTCGTTGGACCAGGAAGCGATCATCATTGACACGAGTCTAGCAGCAAGATCTCAGTTCCATTTCAATGAGTTCGGCGACGAGGAGATCTTAGTCCAGATGTCGTCAGAAAAAGGCGGGAAAGACACTCAACTGGAGTCATACGATGACGATGACGGCTTGGATTATTCAGCGACAAGGGGTCATGACGCCAAAATGTCAAGTTCCAACAACAAGAAAGGGAGTCACAAATTTATGAAGGTGAGTTTGAATCGTGGCTTGAACTGAATTATTCTGATTGCTTTGATTGGTATTAGGGGAAGAGACATGGATACGATCATCCGCAGTTTCAGATTGACGACGAGGATGACGGGAATGACAACGATGACATCAGACTTGTAGAGATGAAGAACGAAAGCACTATGATAGAAGAGAACGGCACAACTCATCATGGTCATTCGCACGGTACTTGGGTGATCCATCTGGTTGTTTTCTCACTTTTCTTGCTCTCCTTGTCATTTAGGTGTTGGCACTTCCAAGTGCAGCAATACAAGGGCTCTGATCAATGTGCTCAAAGCATACGTTGGTTCTGGGGTGCTGGGCCTGCCGTACGCCTATTCTCAGGGAGGCATGATGGCTGCTTTCACTGGGATGACGTTGATCTCCATTCTTTCAACCATTTGTGTTTTTATGTTATTAAGCTGTAAAAAGAAGTTGGGGGGGCGAACTCGTTCATTCGGGGACGTGGGATATGCGGCCTGCGGCAGGACTGGACACGTGCTGGTTGAATTCTGCGTTGTCTTGTCACAGATGGGTTTCTGCTGCGCATATCTGATCTTCGTCGGGGAGAACATGTACAAGTATGTGAAACCATATGTGGTGAAGGAGGACAATGTAATTTGGGCGATCGTCCCTGGAATTTCTCTGCTGTGCTGGATCCCTTCGTTGGATATTTTGGCACCGTTCAGTTTGTTTGCAGTGCTGTTGATCTTCAGCGGGCTCATTACAGTTGCATGGAACTCGATGCCTTTGTTTGGAACCGGCCCAGATGTACAAGAATACATTCCCTCCACTATGCCGATATTTGTTGGGATGGCGATTTACGCGTTTGAAGGCATCGGCTTGGCGATTCCCATCGAGAATTCGATGAAACATCCCGAGTCTTTCCCCTTCGTCTGGGTGCTTGGAATGGTCATAGTGACTATCACTTATATCACATTTGGGGCTTTTTGCTACTCTTGCTACGGAGATGAAGTCCCTTCAATCATAACGATGGTCCTCCCCGACGACTTGGTGTCGTTCTTGGTCAAGCTTGGGCTCTGCATTGCCCTGCTCTTCACCTATCCCATCGCCATCTATCCCGTCTTCGAAATAGTTGAGGAGGGATGGTGCTGGAGGTTCTTGAGGGCTCCTCCTCCTGAGGTTCTCCCGGGGCATCACGCGGTCTCGTTACAGGTCAGTTGAGTGTGCTGGAAGAGGGAGAGACTGATATCTAGACGCCAACAGGAAGGAGTATCTGAAAATTCTTTCCTATGGAAACGAAGGCTGACAAGAGTCGTCCTCGTCATGATCACGGCGACAGCAGTGCGTGTGCTTCACTGCCGTTTCGATCGATGTTCACATTCCCGGCAGGCTGTTGTTATCCCAGACTTCTCGATCGTAATGGCGTTCATCGGATCGGTCCCCTCCAACATCATGGTAGACCTTCCATCTCGTCTCCCTTCTCCTTCATTGCCCTGACGAGGACCCTCAAGGCGTTCGTCCTCCCGACCCTCTTCCACATCTTCGTCTTCTGGAAGTCCATGGGCTTCTGGGGCAGGTGAATGGGATAATTCCTGCCTGCAAGTTTGACCGTTGTTCAAGGTTGTTCGATGTCACGCTCTTCTCGTGCGGGATCTGCGCTGTTGTCATCTGCACCTGGACTTCCATGTTCGGAGTGAACAAGCCCGTCGGCCTGCCGCGGTAACTTTCAGCTGGACTGCCATGATTTGTGCTAGCCGCGAAGTAGCCACTCTACCTCTAGTAGATCATAGTACAACTTTGAAAGCATCGATTTCGTTTCTTCCAGCTGTTCTTCCAGCGTTTCTCTCGTAGGTTGGGAATGAGGGGGATGAGGACAAGGCGAATGGACTTGAAGGGGGGGTGAGGGTCATCACATCTGCCATCAGGAGACATACCCGTAGGTTTGCCTGCATCTCACAGTCAAAGACAACTTGGGGTGGGGTAGTGTTGGAGTGATTGGGGGCATGGCGGCCTCCTGCTTGAAGCTATGGCTGCTGAGTGGTAAGATGAGCGAGAGAGGGAGGGAGGGAGCGGGAGGAAGGGAGAGGGAGGGAAACAGAGGGAGGGAGGGAGCGGGAAAGAGAGGTAGAGGGAGGGAAACAGAGGGAGGGAGAGAGGGAGGGGAGATGGAGAGACAGATGGATGGACGGAAGGACAGGGGAAGCGAAGGAGGATGCGAGGGAGGATGCGAGAGAGGGACGATGGAAGCGAGGCACTGAGGGACTGAGGGAAAGAAAGGGCGGGTGAAAACGACGGAGAGGGATCAACGTGTAGGGGAGGATGATTCTGTTCCCCTGACTCTTTTCGTCAGGTCTTTGCCTGTCAGGCCTTGTGCATGCGTTCTTACCAAACTCTGCGCCGTTCCTGCATGGGAGGTCCTCGTTTGTGTCTCAGTCGCGAAGCAGACCCGCTGCACTCTCAGCATGGACCCTCCCGCTGCGAAAAATGTCAAGGGCTGGAATCATCGCCACCAAGATGGCTGATGATGCCATGATTCTGCGACTTGAGAACACAGCGCGTCAGTTCGAGGAGCTCACGAGCCAGGTGAGTGGTTGTTGTAAGGGGCGCCACACTGTGACCACTTGGAATGTCAGCTCGGAGATCCCTCCCTCGCAAACGATCCTACCGAGCTCCTTCGCGTCACGAAGAAAAGAGCTTCGTTGGAAGATATTGTCACGTAAGTGATTATTGTCTTGTATGTGAATTGCACGAGCCTTGTATGTTGGAGTGATGAAACAAACTCGCCGGCGCTTGGATGAATTATCTTAGATAAGATGTTTAAAGCGAGACTCTTTGTTTCTGATCATAGACAAGACTTGTCTCAATTTCGTCAATGCCTGTGATGCTAATGTTCGTTAACCAACTCCCCTTTCAGCTGCTTCAATGATTGGAAGACGTCAAATGAAGAGCTCGAAGGCGCCAATCTTCTCTTTCAAGCAAGTTAATTCTGTTGCGGGCACGTCCCCTAATCCATTCCTTTAGGATGCGGGTGATGATCCTGAGCTGCGTGAAATGGCGAGGGAGGAAATCAAAACACTCGAAGCGGTCTTTACCATGCTGACGCCTAATGGAGGATGATCGGAGTTTGCAGAAAATCCAAGAGCTTGAGGAACAGCTCAAGGTGCTGATGTTGCCAAAGGATCCGAACGACGAACGTGATGTCATGGTGATCCGCTACTGCCCTTGTGTAGCTTTGCTAACAATGCCCACCAGCTCGAGATCCGAGCAGGAACAGGAGGAGATGAGGTTGGAACCGTGTCGGCTGCCTCGTGGTTGCTGATCGCACCCTCCGTAGGCAGCTATCTGGGCGAGGGACTTGCTTGAGGTTTACACACGATATGCCAAGACACAGGTGAGTCCTGCTCAGAGCGTCGGGGATGCTGACTTGAGGCGCTTGCAGTCATGGACGACGTCAATGGTTGATGAGAGCGAGTCGACTTTCATCCTGCAAGTGAAGGGCGACAGCGTGTACAGCAAGCTCAAGTACGAGGCAGGAGTGCACAGGTGAAACGCAACCAGATCTGTGCCGAAGGCTCACAAGATACTCAGGGTGCAGAGAGTCCCAGCGACTGAGACGCAGGGGAGAGTTCACACATCAACGGCGACTGTTGCGATCATGCCGGAGGTCGACGAGGTCACTGTGAAGATTGATGCAAAGGACATCTCCCTCACCACTGCTCGCTCGAGGTGACACGGGGAGAGTGTTGGGCGGGTCTGAGCTGACGGGGGGGGGGGTGATCAGTGGAGCTGGAGGACAGAACGTGAACAAAGTGGAGAGTGCGGTAGATCTGGTTCACATCCCGACTGGGATTCGTGTTTTTTGCCAACAGGAAAGATCGCAGCTCAAGAACAAGTATGACTTCCCATGCTCCGTGCTGGGCTGATGAGTGTGTAGGGAGGTCGCGATGCAGATTCTGCGAAACAAGCTCTATGAGCTCCAGATGGAAGAGCAGATGTCTGAGATCTCCAAGCAGAGAAAGGATCAGGTCAGTGGCATCACTCTACCCCGCAAGGGCTCGTGTGCGAGCAGTCTGTTCCTCACACTGCCCAACAGGTCGGAACCGGATCCAGGAGCGAGAAGATCCGCACGTACAACTGGAAGGATGGCCGATGCTCGGACCACAGGTTGAACAAGAACTTTCCCCTCCAGCAGTTTCTCTCCGGCGATCTTGAGTCCATCATCCAAGAGTGCATCTTCAAGGATCAGCAGCAGAAGCTCGCCGACATGGCCCAGGAGGTCACCGCATAACTTGAGTAAACAGCTTGCACCACCCCCCTTGTGTGGTACCCATGCATTTGATTACCCCTACCCCCTTTCCCCTTATGTAGACGGAAGGGCAGGCGACGGGATGAGTGTCAGTGACCCCATATGGTAGTCAATTTCCAATCTTAGCTTTGATCTTAGCTAGGAAATGCTGGGGGAGGGGGAGAGGAGGGAGGCATAGACGGGGATCTGCGGGGATGAACGAGGGGTGGTGTGGGGTTCCAAGTGCTCATGCGCAGATGCTCGTCTTCTGTAAAGTCGAATATTTTCTTTGGAATGACGGAGGGCCCGACTTCTTCCCTTCGCCGATCCTTTGTTGGTGTTATGTTGTAATTTCCATCCTAGTCGTCGTTCTGCAAGGGGCGAATCAACTCTTCTCCAACTCAGATATTGCCCAGACTGTCATGGTTGTGTTTGAATCTTCCATGCTGCTCACGCACGACAATGTGCTCCTGTTTGTGTTTGACATGCTCGAGTCCTACAACCTGTACTCTCTCTACGGAAAGATTCAGACAGCAACTTTCCTCATGGATTTGTCGGCGATCCTGAACCTGATCATGTTGCTTCTCACCTATGGGATGCTGACATTGCTTCACGTTGGAGGATACGCCGAAGATGTACAGCAGAGAAATCGAATGAAACTCCAACAGAGGTACCTTCACACGACAAAACACCCCTATGCTCTCCTATGGTGCATGGGGATTGCAATCTTTTGCTGGACTTTGCAGTATTTTTTGCGAAAATCTTGTTTGAAAGCAAGTTCCAATAGCTTTGAGCAGTATTTCAAATTCCTTTACGCCTCATACACTCAAGACAGGGATGACTCACTCGTGGATTTATCTTTCATGTTAGTACTTGTTATGAAGGCAGGTTTTTACCTCAGTCTGCATCAAATCAGATTGTCTGCTTACTATTTTGATTTGGACACACTTTGCAGATCGCCTCAAATCACTCTTGACACCAGCACAGACAGTTCTGTTGTCGCTGAACAAGCATCAACGGTTCCAGCTACGCGCATGGCATCAGCCTTTCCCGCATACTGGCATTTAAGACATGAGGACGACGCAGACTGCTGCTTTGACGTGACAGCAGAGTGGAAAGAGAGGATGCAGGAGCTTATCTCCACGACATGCAAGGCAGAGGGAGTGGGAAAGGGGCGAATGAATTCAAACATAGGACACACATATCTCGTTGTCGATCGAGTTTTGCGCATCGAAAACCATCTAAGTTGGAAAGCATACTCGTGGCAAAGAGATGTGGTTGCTGAGCAGCTCAAGAAGAATGGGGTAAAGCAGGAGCCAACGGCAGTTGCCACCGCCAGGTCCTGGATGCATCAAAGTCTCCAGCTGCACGAAGGCAGCAACGAAGTGCTCTTGCTCCACGGTACACCGGCGGAGCAGGTCAGCAAGATCGTCGAGGAGGGAATGCTGGATGAGAGGATGTTCAGCTCAGGGGGCATCTTTGGAGGAGGGATCTACTTGGCGGAGAACTCGAGCAAGGCTGACGAGTACTGCGACCCAGATCCTGACGGCTCCTGCTGGATGTTCCTCGTCCGCACCGTCCTCGGACAACCTTTCATGGCGCTGGCCCCCAGGAGGGACTCGAGGAGGCCCCCGAGGATCGAGGGGACACCCAGGCTGTACGACTCAGTGATCGGACTATCCCGGCAGCAGGCCCCCCGAGCGTGCCGAGGCATTCATAGGGAGTTCGTCGTGTACGACCGGAGGCAGGCATATGCTGAATTCCTCATCGGGTTCAGACGAGTCTGAAGGGATGGGGTCGACATGCTACAGGAGATGAATGGTCTCCTAGTTTGTAGATCTGAAAAGGATAATCAATAAAGTAGCAAAGTTTACGGTTGCTGCTCTATGAATACTGCTTGATGGCTGTATTTAGCTCTCCTTGATCATACTCTTAGTTACTCTCTGGTGGCATCGCGCTTCCCAGACAGTCAGTTCCTGTCTCATTCCAGTACAAAAATAACCAAGATGGGCGAGGAGAGCAGGAGAAGGAGCAGGACCAGGACCAGGACCAGGCCCAGGCCCAGGACCAGGATCAAAAGCAGGACCAGGACCAGGATCAAGAGCAGGATCAGGATCAGCATCAAGAGCAAGAGCAGGAGCAAGAGCAGGAGCCGAGCAAGTGGCGCGACTCGACGAAGAAGTTTGTGGTGTCTGTCAGGTTATGATTCCGCAACCCCCCGCCACCATGTCATGGCTGGCGGTGGGGCTGGCGGCGGAGGTGTCCTCCTCTCCCATGGTCGTGTCCCTCGGGACCCCCTCCACAGGGAGCTCGTCCTTCAACGTGAGTACCCTCCCCTCCACACGGGGGGAGACGGCTGAGAACCAGCTGAACACGGGGGGGGTTCTCTGCTTCCCTGGCTTCACCCCCTGGGGGACCTGGCATCGGGGGGGACTGAACTCGCTCATGGTGGACGCGGAGGAGAGTGGGCAGCAGGAGGGGAGAAGCACCATCACGAAGCTGAATGGGTATGGCTGGTCGTCGGCGCTCGTGGACGTGAAGGTGGAGAAGGGCGCGCGGAGGTTCGAGTTTCATGTGAAGCGGTTGACGGGCCCGGTGCAGATCGGCATCGTACGAGACAAGCACGCGAGGTTGAGTGGGAGTTGGAAGGATAGTGACTTTGTACATAGCAAGTGGTTCCTTACAGAGGATGGGAGCGTCTTCAACGGCAGCAGGAGGGTGCTGAGGAGCGGGAAGAAGTTGAGCGAGGACGACGTGGTCGGGGTAGAGGTTGACATCGAGTCAGGGACTGTTTCTCTTTTCAAGCTCCCGAAGAAGATCAGAGGAGAGCACGTGTTTGCTGCTCCCTGCGCAGCCTGCCGCGGTCAAGATCAGCGTCCTGCTGGCCCTTGCAAGCTGTGGAATGCGGATGGGGGGGAACATGGTTTCATCGGCAGGGTTTCCGGTGTGCTGACGCACCATGATAGAATCATCCTCACCGATCTGCCAGCGGGGAAGGAGGACGAGGAGAGCGAGTGGATCAGCGGCAGGACGGGAGAGAAGATGCGGGGAGTCATAGCGAGTTTCATGGAATGCTTCGGGGAGGTGGAAATTGTGGAGTTGAGCAAGGAGCAGCGGTCAGCGGTGGTGAGGGTAACGAGGTCCTTCTCCTCCCCCTTCTACGAGGAATTTTCCCTCTTCCACTGTATGCTCGAGGAGATCTTTCGCCTCCCCTTCTTGGACCCGCTGGTGCAGGAGAAGTACAACAGAGCCGGGAAGGTAGACCTGGCGTTCATGGCCAGGAAGCGAAGGCCGGCAGACTCAAGGCACGCCCCCTTGCTCTGCGACAGTGCGACTGATGGGTTTTCAGGTGGGAGCACTACATCGGGCCGGAGGGGATTCTTGTCGGGGAGGAGGAGGAGGGGAAGGAGGAGTGCGGCCCGTGCCTCGCCGAGGTAGGAGGGAGGGGCTACGTCGTGCCGGGCGTTTGCATCGCTAAGGCTGGGACTGCCGTGCACTTTGCGATCCCTCAGGACAAATTTGAAAGAATCGCAATCATCGAGGAGCAGCTGCGGCGCCTGAGGACCTTCGGCTTCGCTCCCTCGCCCTTCCACGCCTCCCTCACAGAATCTTGTATCCTCGTACAGGGAGGACGGGTTACGAGATTGACAAAGAGTGCTAGCGGAGGAGGAGGAGGCTCTCTGTTTGCTACAGCAATCTCTTCCTCCTGGATCTCTCGTTCCTACCCGCCGAACGGGCTTTACCAACCTCAGTCGTGGGAGCCGCACCATGACGGCAGTTGGGAAGTGGAGGAGGGGAAGTACGTGTGGAAGGAGAACCAACGGAAGCTGCTGAACAAGAGGAGGTGGAACGTGAAGGTCGTGCAGATCGGCAGGCATGGGAATGTTCACAGCACAGGGATGTACATAGGAGTCATCAGCCCCGGGGGATCGCAGGAAACGTCTGGCGGCGTGCTGTTGTGGGCGGCGGAGGGGGAGACGCTGAGCAACGAGGACGACAACCTTTGCAGAGTTTGCTTCTCCCTTCCCATCTCCCACACTATCTTCCCCTGCTCCCACCACGTACTCTGCAGGAAGTGCGCGGCCAAGGTGGGCAGGAAGATCTTCGTTTGCCCCAGCTGCAGGACAGGCTCGGCCGCATCCCCGACCAACCTACCCCTCACGCTTGACCGCAGCTGGAGGAATTCTATCTTCTACAACCGCTGCTGGTTCTTCGACGGGTCTCGAGCCATCAACCGCAACGGAGCTCCTCTCGGCGGGGCTCTCTACAATGGTGACGTCATCATTTGCCCGTTCTCCAGCACCAAGGCAAAGGCGCTGAACAAGGGGGACGTTGTTGGGATCGAGCTGGACCTGGGCGTCATCGAGCACCATGGCGGGGAACAGGAGGTCTGCCGTCCTCTTCTTCCTTGCCCTCCCTCTTGCAGCAACACTTCTAAGGGCCATCGCATGCTCATCGAGAGCTTCTGCCGCCTGCGTTTCTCGCACAACGGGAAGCTGATCGAGGGGATGTTCGTAGAGCCGCTGACTGTGCTGGGCTGCGTCGCGGGGTCCAAGTGTGAGAGATGCACGAGAGGAAAGTTCTGTCCACTCAGCCTCCCCCTCCACCCCGCCGTCTGCCTCCTGGAGGAGGGAGACTGTGTAGAGATGGAGGAGGTACATCATACTGCCTGGCCCTGCCCTCACGACTCGTTCCAAGTCTGCGATGCTTGCCAATTGAGTAACCCGACGTTGGGTAAATAAAAGGAAAGGGAGACCAGGAGGAGGAGCAAGGTGAGGGAGGGTTGGAGGAGGCGAGAAGGATGTGGAGGAGGAGGAGGGCGAGCAGCTATCTTGTCGTTTTCCTTGTCAGTCAAATTGAATCGCACTCTTTCCATGTGACTCCTCTGGCTCCTCGGACAGCGGGTTGAACTCCTCAAATGTCACGTTCCTCGCCAACTTGTAGAGATCTCTCTTCAGCCTCTTCATCTGCGTGAACTTCTTCTTTTGCAGCCACTCCATGTCATCGGTCGGCTCCACGTCATACCCGTTGAGCATCCACTGCACGTCGTCATGCTGCTCATCCCGTCAGCAATGAGACCCAAGGAGCATTCTATCGGCACCTCCAGCGCCCAGTACTTCTTGTTCAGCATCCTCGGCGTGAAACTCGAGAACAGAGTTGAGTTGGCCCACTCAGGCCTGAAATCCTCCACCTGCCCCTGCTCAGACCCCCCAACCTCGTCAGCGGCAGCCTCAACAACCAAGAGTTTGACCTCGGAGTTGGAGGATGGGAAGGAGTAGGTCGAGTTGATACCCCAATAGTCCAGGAACTCCTGAGACGCCCGCGGCCAGTCCCCCTCGACCACTCCCTTCTCCCTCCTGTCCCTCACCATAATCTCTGCCTCCTCCTCCGTGAGGTGGATGACGGGAGGAGGAGCATTCTTCCGCGCTTCTTCCTCCTGCTGCTTCAGGCTTGCTAGCAGAGCCTCGCGGGGCCACCATTTCTTGAAGGCGGCAGACTTGGTGCCCGAGGGAACAAACCAGCTCTTCTTGTCCATGTCCCACCTGCCAGCAGCCCCCAGTGTCAGCGGACCTTCAGCTGGACGGGAGCTGCTTCAACCTCCCTCCCAGCGCTTTGCACGCGTCCTTGTCCATGAAGGGGCAGTTGAGGTGAAGCCTGCGCAGCGTACTCATTCTTTCCTGCTTCCTCCCACCTCCTGTCCCAGCAAAGAGCGGAGGGTTACCTCCCATTCAGGTCTCGAGGAGGAGAAATTTCCCTTGGCGCCTCCTGAGCCTCCTCCTTCCAGGCGGGCAGACGAGACGGCTCGAGCCAGTCGTCGGGCCCGATCTCCGGGTGTGCACCGGGGGTGTGACCTGAACTTGAAGTGAGAGGAGGCTGTAGATCGGAACGTGTTGGATGCTCGTCTCGTGCTCCTGCAGTCATCCTTTTCTTTCTCTTTCTCCATGAGCTCGTTTGCTCATTGTGACTGCGCCAACTCACCTTCCTGTTGTAGCACATGCTTGGCAAGGCAAGGATACTCTGAAGAAAACATTCAATCAGTAATCGGACTCTCCGTGTCGGAAATGATTCGTACCGTCATCGTCGGTCATTTGGACATCCTGGAAAGTTCAAGCAAGAAAAAGTCAAATCTACGAGCCGTTCACGGTCAGCATCCCTTCTCACCTCGTCAATCTTGACCCCATGTTCCGGTGCAACCGGCGTGACATTCATCGGCAACTTTTGCTGTGGTTGAGCGAAACGAGTAGGAGAGTTGAGTGAAGGGGGCAAAAAGGAGGAGGAGGGATCAAGGTAGTCAGTGAAGCCAAGGGGCAAGCAGGAGCTCTGAACACCGTGTCAAACACTTTGATGTGCCTTAAGCTGTACTTCTTGAAGAAATCCGACTGATAGATCGTCACCTTTGACATCTCAACGGGATTGCTGACCTTGGGATACGCAGGATTGAAGATCTCGTTGAAAACCGTCAGCCTCCTCGTTTCATTCTTGGGCCTTCGAGTCGTCATGGTTTGAACGATCGGGTATTCAGCGCCCAGATTTTCGAGCTGCAAGATGCGTCAAAGGTGAGGACAATTATGAAATTGCTCTCTTCACTTCTTTCAGCACGTCCCACCGCCCGAAATCCCAAGCAAGGAGGTAAGGAGTCTTGAACCAATATGTTAGTCCAACCCCTTTGACTCTCACGACAAAACCAGCTCCCCACGATCAAGAGGAAACTTGTAAGCTCCAAGCTCTGCGGGAAGGTGAGGAGGAGGAGGGAGAGAGGGCAGTACTATTGACCTATGAGCTTGCGGCAAGTAGCGGGAGATCCGTACCTGCAGGGTCAAGCTTGACAAACGCTCTTAAGAGGAAGTGAAGGGACGTCAACCCACCATGCAGCCCAATGCAAGGGAGTAAAACAAGAAAACTGCGGGTCTTGCGGGAGGGAGTCAAAAGGTGAGATCAGAGACGTCTGAGAACCTGTGTGGTTGACATCAGCTCCGGCTTTTACTTGTCTTTCCACTTCCATATACTGCGGCGAAGAAGGAATGAGCTGAGAATACCATGAGAGCTAAGTCGTTACCTCTCCGTTCTTTGCCGCCTATATCACACACAAGAGGTCAGGCATCAGAGATAACAGGAAGGAACACACGGAGCATACCTCTCGAAGGAGGAGGTTCGGGTCTGAAAAGTTTGGCACCCTTATCCCTGCACAGTCTGTCAGGGTAGACATGGAAGGACAAGGAATCAGCTTCCTGTCAGGATCGGAGGAGGGACCCTGATTCTGTTTGTCACGTTCACGAAGACGGGCTAGTCAAATTCAAAGTCAAGAGTCCCAGGAGGCACCAAGGCGTCAAAGACGTTACTTCATCGGGCAACCACCATAACGGCCTCTCGCCTGTCAGACGGTCACTATCAAGCTCAGAAGCAGCGTCAAGTGTTCCCCCACCTATCTGCTCCAAGATCTTGGGATCCCACTTGTCTCCCAGCTGCAGCGAGGTTATGATGTCGATCGCCTCAACACCCCCGAACCTTTTCCTTGAGCATCTTGATGTAGGCTCGACGATCCTTCGCGCTTCCAGAGAGCTTTTTGCGCTTCAGCTCGCCTGTCTGCGGGTCGATGAAGTTGTCGAATGTCCCTCCTCCATTGTCGTCGTCGTCATCATCAAAATCATCCAATATATCTGTGCTGTCCGATGTCGCATCTGAATGCATGATAAACTTGTCCGCTGGATGCTTCTCGACGGACTCCCTCAACTTACAGAAGGTCTCCCGGCACAGAATCACTCGCTCAGCAGGTGTCAGGTTCTTCATCATCACGATCGCCTCCGCCCACTCGGGCAGAGACCCCGGCAGGTACGTCTTGTTCATGGCTTGCCTGCCCAGTTTGATCTTCGGGGCCCCACCCCGCAGCTGGGGGAGGAGGTGGGAGCTGTTGTGCGCGAGACTACCGTGAGCCTCATAAGGGGGAACGTGGGGAATGCGGGGCAGAGATAGAAGCTCGATGCTGCTGCAGATCAAGTGCCCCATGAGGAGGAGGAGGATCGAGAAGCTGGAAGGCATAGCACAGACTACTCAGCCCTTGCCTCGTTCAGTGCTGGGAGGGATGAAGATCAACGATTCTCCTCCTCCTCCCTCTTCCACCCTCCTCCTCCCTTGCCCCTCCCTTGCCCCTCCCTTACCCCTTCCTCCTTCCTCCTCCTCTCCTTGCCATTCGCGTACCCACGGGACATTCGCAAGTTGAGCCGCATCGGGGTGGAGACTGTCCAAGCAATAGGAGGGGTAGTTTTTTTGGATGAATATGGGGGTGGTGCAAATAGGTGAATATTCCATGGGGACATACAAAGTTGTTGTTACGAAAGGAGGAGGAGGAGGAGGGGAGAGGGAGGGCACGGAACGATAATCTACGGCCTCTACTGAGGTTTGCCATGTCCATCGGATTGCGGACGCCGTTCGATGCCTACTTGGAGAAGAAAGAGATGGCGGAGGAAGAGCGGAAGGCCGAGAGGAGGAGGCAGCACGCCATGCAGCACGAGATACGGAAGGAGATTGATCATAACCTATCCCACCAGCTGAAGCTTTCCTCCATGGTAGTCCAGTCGCGCTTGACCATGGCAGCGGATCATAGCGCTCTACCCGCATCAGCGCTGGTCAAGAAGATCGACAACAAATTGCAACAATATCGGCAGTTGAAAATGAATCAACCGAGCAGCTTGCCCGACGCTCTCTTCAGAAAGTCTCCGGCAGCCGCTGCCTCCAACGAGGCCCCCGACCTTGTTCTATGGAATCAGGTTGGTAGGTCGTCGCAGCAGAAGTACGTGCCCGAGAATGCGGAGCAGCTCCGAGCCGAGACGATCGCCAAACAGCAGATGATTCAGAATCGCAAGGTGCAGTCAGACAAGCTCATAAAGCTTGTCAAGTCCAACGAGCGCATCCACGACTGCATTCAAGCCGGCGGCGATCCGTTGACAGCGATCAAACTCCTGCGCATGATAGAGACATCGGTCCATGAAGTTGACAAGGACGGGAAGACCTGTCTGGGCAGGTGCCTTGAAAAGGAGCCGATCACTTCGTCCAAGATCCAAGTGCTGATTGAAGCCAATGCAGACGTCAACACTGTTGACAGCAAAGGCAGATCATGTGTTATGAAGGCGGTGATAGAAGGAGAGGTGATGAATTCAGAAAACTTCAAATTCAACTCTTCTTCTCCTCCTCCCCCTCCTCCCTCTCCTCCCCTCCGTCTATCTCCCCCCCCCCTCCCCTCCTCCTCCTCCAGCTCCTCCTCCTCCTTCACCACCTCCTCCAGCTCCTGCTCCCTCATTGCCCTCCGCCTTTCCTGAATTCCCTCCAAATTTCTCCTTGCTTACGCACTTCTCACCCAATCGCTCTCCTTACGTTGACACTCCTTTTCAACGTGTTTCAGGTGGAAATGATCGATTACTTCTGCAGCCGGGGAGCCAACGTCAATCTTCCTGATCAGGCGGGAAACACACCACTGATAGAAGCAGGTTGGCTGAGACCTGACAAAGTTGCGACGGGTCTGACAGCTGGGCAGCCTGCAGGGGGAACAAGGAAGTTGTCAGGAAGCTGCTAACATCCAAGGCGGATCCCAGGAAGAAGGACAGGTGAGGAGGACGGGGTGATGGATGAGTTTCAGCCGTCTGAGCCGACGCGCCGGGCAGGTTGAGGAGGACTCCGTTGGAGATCGCTACCCTCTGGGGGAGGAAGGGTGAGTGGAGAGGAAAAGAAGGGGAGCAGCGAGGGGGTCACTGACTAGCTCTTTCAGGTGTGGTGCTGATGATTGAGAGCTGGCTGCAGGATCACCACGACAAGAAGCACTCCTAGTCTCTTGTCCACTCTGTAAATTTGTACATGTGCCAAAGAGTTTTGCTGTCCCTTTCTAGTCCCCCAACTCAGATGCGTTGACTTGGGTCGGCTAGGGATGCTGAGATCAGAAGCAGATCTCTCAACACTCCTCCTCCTCCTGCTCCTTCTCCTGCTGCTCCTGCTCCTCCTCCTCCTCCTGCTCCTCCTCCTCCTCCTCTCTTTCCTTGTGCTCTCGAAACCTGTCAAAATTGTTTCCTGTACAAGTCCCACTCCACCCACCAGCCCCCACCCCTTGAATTCAAGGGAACATACCCCGTACCTTTCAACACTTTGACCGGTCTTTCAAAATCCATGGCGCATGACGCGTTCACTCGCGCTCCGTCCGATGGAGTCAGGAGGGGGAAGCGTGAGATATCAACACCTCCTCCTCCTCCCGTCTTCTTCTTCTTTCTTCTTCCTCCTCCCTTCCTCTTCTTCTTTCTTCCTCGTCCTTCTCTCCTCTCCTGCCAAATCCCCACCCCACTCTGAATTCCCATCCCTCCTTCCTACCCTCTCTTTTCCTTATCCCTCTCCTTCATTCCCTTTGTCCTTGATATATCCCTTCACTCCCTCTCTCCTCTCTCACACTCCCTCCTCCTCTCGCCTCCCCCTTCTTCGCCTCTGAGCTGTCTCGTGGTTTGATTGGGGACTGACGGATCCGGGATCAGAGATACGCCAGGCGTTGCATGAATGGCAAGATCTGGAAGGTCTTGCAACAGTGAGCTTGAAGCTCCTCTGACGCTCTTGTAGAAGATGACTACGATGATACCGTCCACTCTTTTCAGCAGCAGGATTCGCATGCTTTGAGCAGGGAGAGCACGGGGGTCGACCAGGTTCAGCAAGCTGTAGAAGGGAGGAGGTTTTGCTGCTGACAGTTTCTGCTACTTGCAGAATGAGTCGAGCAAGGAGAAGAAGTTCAGCCTGGTGAGATGATCTCAGGACGGCCTCAGCTGAAGCTCCATACAGAAAAACGCGACGAAGAAAATCATGAAGATCGCGCGGGCGATGAGTCCTTTCCGGAGGGGGTCCGCGCTCTCAGAAGAATCCTTCGCCAGGCAGGACTCCTCTCGCCGAGACTCTCCAGGCACTTGCACTATCCATGCCAGGGCAGCCTCTGACCTCCCTTTCCTCCTTCCTGCACATAGACGAGGATCGTAGGCCTTCCTCGCCCTTCCAGCGCATGCAACGGAGAGCGTCAGAGGCGATTGGGAACCTGATGCAGAAGATCTCACCCATGACAGCTCCTAGCAAGTCCAGCGTGCCCGTTCCCAAGCTCACGTCCGATGTGAGGGGCTCGAAAGCGTTGACTTTTCTTGTCTTCTTCATCGTCTTCTCATCGTCTCCTTCTTTCCTCCCCCTCTTCCTCGTCCTCTCCTTTCCCTTCTTCTTCCTTTCCTTCCTCCTCTTCCACTTCCTCCTCTTCGTTTCTGCTCCTGTTTCTGCTTCTGCCTATGACCGATTGTCTCAGGATGTGACGGTCGACGAGATCGTGATCTCGGGGAACTTTGAAGTGAAGAGAAATAGGAAGGGAGAATGGAAGCGCAGGAGGACTGAGTTGACGAGGGTATGCTCAGAGAGGGAGGGAGGGAGGGGAGGGAGGGAGGGGAGGGAGGGAGGGAGGGAGGGAGGGAGGGAGGGAGGGAGGGGAGGGAGGGAGGGAGGGAGGGAGGGGAGGGAGGGAGGGAGGGAGGGCTCAGGAAGAAGAATGATCACATCTACACTTTTAGGAGGGCCACTTGCGAGTTTACGCCAAGGAAATCTTCGCTGCGAAACCGAAGCTGGAGATCCCAACCTATCACGCAGAGATCTCAGTGGTGACTTGCGGGACTTTGGTGGGACTCTCCGAGTTGGTTCACTGGCTGCCAGGTGGAGCCAGAGGACTTCTTCT